GATCAGAGTTCTGAGAGGTCATCAGCTGTCAGTCACATGTCTGTGTGTGTCACCTGATGACAAATTTATTTTCTCTGCTTCAAAAGACTGCTCCATCATCAAATGTAAGTATGACTACACGTCTATATTAAATCAAGCTCCAAAGTATGGAGTTTCCCTCTTGGGTGAGAAAAGCTGGGTTAAACCTTGAAATTGCACCATCGGGGACCCCTAGTGAATTTCAATCTAGTGATGTTTTCAAGGCCCTCACTTTTCCCTGTTGCTTACTAGTGAAAAAGGAAACTATTTTTTTGTGATTGGTGTGAAATGTGATAATTGAAAGCATTTCAGCCATAGATTTGAAAAGTCATACTCCTATTCAATCCTGTACTTATACTCTGCTGATGCTGCTTTGCTGCTGAGGTGTATAGTTATTGATGATTATTTTAAAAACATCAGTTTACTGCTATATAGTAAATGGTTTGAACCCAGGAGTATCAATAGTTTCTACGGTGTGATCGTCCAGGTGAGGGTAGTTCTGAAAAGAACTGTTGTTGGTGACTGACATTTCAACAACCTGAGCGGATGTCATCTTCAGAGTCAACTGAATGGTATGTGTCAGTTGATGGTGTCTTAAGTCTGGTCTGCTGAAACTGATTGGTCAGGTTAGCTATGCTGATGTTTTGTCAGTCTTTTAATTTGTTGTGCACGTGGCAAATATCAAATTAAAACAAATGCTGCAAACTATTTGGAACCAAGCTCGTGTTAAGCTCAGTATTACTGTATTGTTTTACATTGCACAGGGTCCACTAATCACCATTATTAGCTATTTATCAACTTGAACCTGAGAAAGGTAAAAGAACCAGTCATAGCAAGTTATCAAACTTTAGCCCTTTGTCAGAGCAAAGTGACTTTGGCTTTGCTTTGACGAAGGACTATAAAGGCTCGAAACACCAACTTCACTAAATTGCTTTGGCTTGTTAGTTCACTTTAATTTATCAACTTCAAGTCGATAAATACCTGTAAGTGTTTCACTTGCCTGCCAATGTAGCCCAGCAGTTTCTTTAGACGCTAATACAGTTCAGAAATGTTTTGTCTGATTGATGTTTTCTGGCTTACATATTTGGTGACAGGGAATATAGAAACAGGCCAGAAGGAGGGGAAGATCTCAGGCTGTCACAAAGCTAGTGAAGGAAACAAAGGCCACAAGGGACATGTTCTGTGTCTTGCTGTTACTTCTGATGGCAAGTTTTTGGTGAGAAGAAATAAGAAGAATTTTTTGTCTGCAAACTTTTTCTTGTATTTGGTGAAGATTGTATAAATTCTGGTAGCTAGGGGGAGGAGGAGTTGTGTTTATTACCATCTCAGTCTGCTGGAGAGATTGATTTGTGGTAAAAAAGTTTTCAAACCCATTAATTTGATTATTCATATATTTTAAACAATGAAATCATAACCACACGTGACATTGTTTGGATGTTGTACAGGAGGAAACCTTATGACAATGGCTGCCTCAGACATTGCTGAATAGTGAAAGCTTTAGATGATAAATTGCATGCAGCAGAGGGCCCTTTGGAAGTATAGATTTTTACATTTATTTATGATTGTGTTAGCATCTGGTCATTTTTTGTTCTAGGCTAGTGGCGGAAGAGACAAAGTAATTCACATCTGGGATCCTTGCTCACTTCATCACCTTCACACATTCAAAGGACACAAGGATGCAGTATCAGTGAGTTTAGAAGACAATGTTTCTAGTTAGACTTAAATTGAAAACTTGTGGTCTAAAGCAGCTGTGTTTCTTTGTTAGGGTGTGGCTTTTAGACGGGGAACTCACCAGCTTTTCAGTTGTTCTCATGATCGCACAGCAAAAATTTGGAATCTGGATGAGATGGCTTATGTAGAAACTTTGTAAGTCTTATTTGTCAATTTTTGTAACTGTAACTTGTGGTTAGTGACTTAAAAGTCTTAAAGTGCTTTATCCCTTCTTTTTTGTTAATTCTCAGCCTTTTACTCTTGCAGCCTGCAGGATTTCTTTGTATAGGGCCAGGTTGATTTCCATTAGTTAATCTTTGCTCTGTTTTGTTTGGTAAATGCTAGATTTGGACATGAAGACAGCATCACTGCCATCGACAGCTTGACAAGGGACAGAGCTGTGAGTGCTGGAGGAAGAGACCGAAGTCTTCGCGTGTGGAAAGTAGTTGAGGAGTCGCAGTTGGTTTTTAATGCACCAGGGAACATGTAAGTAAATGAGATGACTAACTAGTCTTCTGCTTGCATAATGAGAGAAAGATATTTCATTGGATTGTGAACATGTGATTTGAAATTGAAGCAAGGAGCAACTATTTGCATTCTCTGTGGTGCTGTGTCTTATGGCACTTTGTTACCTAAATGTTTAAATCTGGCATATTAATTTTTGTAAGTTATTAATCATGATTGTACTGTAATTCTATTTTTGTTTCTGTGGCAAATCAATATATATATATATATATATATATGTATATATAGTTGATATAGAGTGAGTAGACAATTGGATTCTGAGAGAATTGAATTGAACTGCATTTAATTGAGGGTTACACCTATATGATTGTGCAAATGAAAGTTAACACTAACCCTAAATCTGATCAGGCTAACTGCAATGCCCCTGAAACTGGATTTAATATATACTGGCTTCAGCTCCTGGTTCAATGCCATTGTAACAGACTTGGTATTTTTGTACTTGATCTTTACAAAAGCATGTGAAGTTTATGTCTTAAATGAACTGAACAGTAAACTAGTAAAATCAATTATTTTATTCACACTTCATCTTCAGAGGGTCATTGGATTGTGTGCAGTTAATTAATGATGAGCACATGGTTTCTGGTGCAGATGATGGGTGAGTATACCCTGTTGTTTCATCACACTTCAAAACACCTTTACATGTAATTAAGGTTGCCAGCAATACTCCAGTGGTTGTATCAACACTCTTCTAGGTGTTGATATGAAACAATGTCTCATGATTAGACAATGTCTCTTGTGTGTGACATGTTACATAGCCAATTTTAATCCTTATTAATACATTTTATTCCAAATTCTAGCTGCAATTTTAGCATTTTTCAACTTATAGAGTTAAAGGTAACTGTGCATCGGACATGACAAGATTTTTACATGATGTATTTGAATGGATATTTGCATCTGTAAACCTTCTAAGTGCATAACACAAGTACCTTAAAATTGAAACTTTCCATTAAATCATATTAACTGATAATATGAAACACCACTTCAAAATTATTTGAACACACTGTCTGTCAGATGGCTATCTTGTGCGGTGTTACAAAATTCTAAAAACAGCCATATGGATAATGGATTTAGTTAATTTTACCAACAGCTCACTATCTTTGTGGAGTGTGACGAAAAAGAAGCCTTTGTGTACAGTTGCAAATGCTCACTGTAAACCTGATAACAGTTCTGATGAGTGCATACCAGATGAGAGTTGGATAACGTCAATAGCATCTTTGCGAAGTACAGATCTCTTGGCTTCAGGTAACACCTTAGCATGTATATTGTTTCAATTGGTTTTAAGTCACTGAAGAGGAGGGTCTAACAGGACTTCTTCAATCTCACATCCATCCACCACCATATTTGGGTCAGTGCCACCATCCCACCCCAGTCAGAATGTTTATCACGATCCACCTTGGTTAGAGTTAAATTTCACCATGTAATATCCACAAATGTGTGATTGTCTGTTATTCATCCTGCAATCCCCCGTCAATTTTAAAACTATTACGCACCTTGCCTGTCAAAGTGAGTAAATCCTGAAGCAATGCCGTATTATTATTCTGCAACCTGCCTTTAAAATTTGTCATTCCACATTGCACATCCAGTTTTCCTTGCATTCCACATTCTGCCAAAACCTATTATGTTGAACCCTCAAGGAAGAAACTGCAGCAACAAATGACTGAAATGTGACTAACTTTGTTTAACAACTTTGCCAGCAGGTTCTTGTGATTCATGCATCAAACTCTGGGAGTGTGGAGATGGTTTCCGAAGTCTCAAGCAGCTCTTCTCAATACCTATGGTGAGACTTACCAAGCTCCAAAGATTACTTCTCCCTACTTATTCTCATTCAACTCTTTCAATGCTAGTTCTGAGAATTTGGTGCACCAAACCAATATTCTATTCTTAAGCTGAAGTTTTCTCTTTTCTTATTGCCACCCTGCTTAGCATTGGATTGATTTTGTAAGTAGAAATTACACATAAATCACTCTTGAAATTTCTAAGGAAACACATTATAGCAAATTTAATCTCTACAGTTAACATTTTTCACTGTTATTTAATCTTGCCAGGTTGGGTTTGTGAATGCATTGTCCTTTTCTAATGATGGAAATGCCCTCATAGCAGGCATTGGACAAGAACACAGACTGGGCAGATGGTGGAGACTTAAAAATGCAAAGAACTCTGTTTGTGTTATACCATTACAGAGAACAGTTGAAAATGGAGGTCATGCATGACATCTACAAATATGTACATCATGTAATGATAAGCTTCTGGTAATAATGTAAAAAGCTGAGCTACATGTATCTTGAAACACAGAATGCTGTTTATTGCAAAATAACTAATGGCTGTATATTATTCTGGTTATTGGTGGATATGTAATAAGAAAATCAGTCATTTCAATGTGTTCTTTATTGTCGAATTTTTATACCATTAAACTAGATTTTATTCATAAATTTCCAATGCTTGGTAAAAAATATCTTGTTATCAAGAAAGGGAACAACATAAGAAAACCAGGTTTCCTGTGGTAACAATGAAAGTTTCATTTTACGATTCTTGCATCTCAGTTAAGAGAATTCTTGTGAAAATGACGGTGTTTCTGGTATTCATCCTGTGTCAATCAAACTGCTGATATACTGAGTGTCCCACATATCATTCTTAGGGCAAGTGATGACATCAGACATCGGTCAAATTAACTGTTACCTTGTTTGAGGCTCTTAACTTAGAAAGTGGGAAAGAGCAAAAAAGATCACAAGAAATGTCTGTGCTTTTCCCATTCCTTTACTGGTGTCTTTTTTTTTTTATTTTCCCAACAATTATTGTTTGAGCCCAGGACAGAATACTTTATTTATAGCATAAAGTTGATGTGATCAGGAAGCATGATTCCTTCTCTGTTTATGTGATGTTCTGTTGCATCATAGTCCACACAGTCCTTCGTTCAAGGAGGTATGCGTTCAAATGGTTCTGTATCATGGAAACAGGCATCAAATACACTCTCTACAACTTTCTCTGCTTCCTCCTTGCTTATGTTTCTGACACATAACATGGATTTAACTGCTCTCGTTTTAACACACTCCTGGCAAAAAAAAAACATTGAAAACAACCGTTTAGTTCTAGAGAACATTGATTTGTTTAATTTTATAAATCTCTGGGAAGTGTTTGTAACTGGATGGAGCTGACTGCTTGTGGGATTGATCCTTGTAAACAGCCTATGTAAAGGATTCCCGTTGTGTTTATGGCCCTGAAAATAGACTACTTTGGTCCCTTACAGTCTACATGATTAAAGACACAGGTTTTTGTGTTGTAACTGTACTCAGCCAAAACATACAGTGCAGCTCAGATATATCCGAACCAAAATATACGCGTAATGCGCGTCAGCCCAATACGCGTATACGCGTATGCATATACGCACATACGCGTATGCATATACGCACATACGCGTATACAGCATATACGCGTATGCCTGATTAGTATGTATGAGCTAACCTATTGTTTCATCTTTTCTTATCAGGTCATTGTTGTTTTCAATGGCTTGACAGCTTGCCACAGAGCGAGAAAGAGTTTTCTTTATTTTGAATACGCGTACACAGTATACG